TCTCCGATAAAGAAAACAATGCCCGACCTGAAGAATTTGGAGCAAATGATTCAGCAGAGGAAACACAGCCCAGAATAACTAAGGAGATAGTACAAGAATACTTGGCTAGTCTAGATGTATTCAAGTCTCCAGGGCCAGATGAACTGCATCCAAGAGTATTAAAAGAACTGGCAGATGTGATCTCAGAACCACTGTCAGTCATCTTTGAGAATTCCTGGAGAACAGGCGAAGTTCCAGCAGACTGGAGGAGGGCAAATGTTGTCCCTATTTTCAAAAAGGGGAAAAGAGAGGACCCAAATAATTACCACCCAGTCAGTCTGACATCAATACCAGGGAAGATTCTGGAGCAGATCATTAAGCAAACAGTCTGTGAGCACCTAGAAAGGAATGCTGTGATCACCAATAGTCAGCATGGATGTCTGAAAAATAAGTTATGTCAGACTAACCTGATCTCGTTTTTTGACAGAATTACAGGCCTGGTAGATGAAGGGAACGCAGTGGATGTAGCCTACCTTGATGTCAGCAAGGCATTTGACAAGGTGCCCCATGATATTCTTGTAAAGAAGCTGGTAAAATGCGGTCTTGACTATGCTACCACTCAGTGGATTTGTAACTGGCTGACTGACCGAACCCAAAGGGTGCTCATCAATTGTTCCTCTTCATCCTGGAGAAGAGTGACTAGTGGGGTGCCACAGGGTTCTGTCTTGGGCCCGGTCTTATTCAACATCTTTATCAACGACTTGGATGATGGACTCAAGGGCATCCTGATCAAATTTGCAGATGACACCAAACTGGGAGGGGTGGCTAACACCCCAGAGGACAGGATCACACTTCAAAATGACCTTGACAGATTAGAGAACTGGGCCAAAACAAACAAGATGAATTTTAACAGGGAGAAATGTAAAGTATTGCACTTGGGCAAAAAAATGAGAGGCACAAATACAAGATGGGTGACACCTGGCTTGAGAGCAGTACATGTGAAAAGGATCCAGGAGTCTTGGTTGACCACAAACTTGACATGAGCCAACAGTGTGACGCAGCAGCTAAAAAAGCCAATGCAATTCTGGGCCTCATCAATAGGAGTATAGCATCTAGATCAAGGGAAGTAATAGTGCCACTGTATTCTGCTCTGGTCAGACCTCACCTGGAGTACTGTGTCCAGTTCTGCGCACCACAGTTCAAGAAGGACACTGACAAACTGGAACGTGTCCAGAGGAGGGCAACCAAAATGGTCAAAGGCCTGGAAACGATGCCTTATGAGGAACGGCTAAGGGAGCTGGGCATGTTTAGCCTGGAGAAGAGGAGGTTAAGGGGTGATATGATAGCCATGTTCAAATATATAAAAGGATGTCACATAGAGGAGGGAGAAAGGTTGTTTTCTGCCGCTCCAGAGAAGCGGACACGGAGCAATGGATCCAAACTACAAGAAAGAAGATTCCACCTAAACATTAGGAAGAACTTCCTGACAGTAAGAGCTGTTCGACAGTGGAATTTGCTGCCAAGGAGTGTGGTGGAGTCTCCTTCTTTGGAGGTCTTTAAGCAGAGGCTTGACAACCATATGTCAGGAGTGCTTTGATGGTGTTTCCTGCTTGGCAGGGGGTTGGACTCGATGGCCCTTGTGGTCTCTTCCAACTCTATGATTCTATGATTCTATGATCATCAATGAAATATTAATGCAGGAAACATTAGATGTCTGCAAGCAAATTTAAGGCTAAATTTTATGGATAGAGTGTGAGGAATGGAGGTGAGGGAAGCAAAGACACCCCTCAGAGTAGTTCTGAAGCTCCACTGAAATATGAACCCCTTGCATAACTCCCATCCATGTGACCCAGTGTTTCCCAAACTTTGGTCTCCAGCTGTTTTTGGATTACAACTCCCATCATCCCTAGCTAGCATGACCAGTGGTCAGGGATGATGTGAATTGTAGTCCAAAAACAGCTGGAGTCCCAAGTTTGGGAAACACTGATTTGGCAGAAGCAAGCTTCCACAAGCAGTTGTTTTGGACTCCAACTCCCATCAGCCCCTGCCACCTGCCTGGGGTTGATGGAAGTTGGAGTCCAACGTGTCTGAAGGGAACAAGGTTGTGGGAGGGCCGGTCTGAAAAGGGAAGATGACACTGTAACTTTTGGAAGCTGAGCAAGCCTTTCTTTTAATTGTTTTTTTTTTATTGCAAATAAATAAATAAATAAGCTAGGGGAAAAAGGGAAGGAGAAACGAAGGGGGCAATCAGAAAGGAAACAACCCACCTACAGGAAACCAAAGCAAGCAGGAGCTCCATCAACTCACATTAACAATGTAACACCCATCAATATAGCCATCTTAGTTTATGCATGTAGCAAGCTAAATGCCATCCAAATGCCCGAATAGGTATCCAAGTGAAGTTGGCATTTATTTAAAAAGGCACCTTCAAATTTAACAAGGGTGTTAAGGTCTTCAGACCATTGTGTAATAGATGGTGGGCATTTATCCTTCCGGGCTCAAAGTAGAAGTCTCTTAGCAACCATAAAGGGTTGCAAAATCCATTTTTGTTGTCCTGTCATTAATCCCCATGCAGTTGCCTGAAGGCCAAGTGAGTCTTGATGTGATACCAGCCTGGATGGTAGTAAATGACATTAGAAAAGAAAGGATAGGTGATAGATAGATGATGATAGATAGATAGATGATAGATAGATAGATGATAGATAGATAGATAGATAGATGATAGATAGATAGATAGATGATATAGATAGATAGATAGATAGATAGATAGATAGATAGATAGATAGATGATAGATAGATGATAGATGATGATAGATGATAGATGATAGATGATAGATAGATAGATAGATAGATAGATAGATAGATAGATGATAGATGATGATAGATGATAGATGATAGATGATAGATGATAGATGATAGATGATAGATGATAGATAGATAGATAGATGATAGATAGATAGATAGATAGATAGATGATAGATAGATAGATAGATAGATATAGATGATAGATAGAGATAGATGATAGATAGATAGATAGACAGATATAGATAGATAGATAGATAGATAGATAGATAGATAGATAGATAGATAGATGATAGATAGATATAGATAGATAGATGATAGATAGATAGATGATAGATAGATGATAGATAGATAGATAGATAGATAGATAGATAGATAGATGATAGATAGATAGATGATAGATGATGATAGATGATAGATGATAGATGATAGATAGATAGATAGATAGATGATAGATAGATAGATAGATAGATAGATATAGATCATAGAATCATAGAATCATAGAATCATAGAGTTGGAAGAGACCACAAGGGCCATCGAGTCCAACCCCCTGCCAAGCAGGAAACACCATCAGAGCACTCCTGTCATATGGTTGTCAAGCCTCTGCTTAAAGACCTCCAAAGAAGGAGACTCCACCACACTCCTTGGCAGCAAATTCCACTGTCGAACAGCTCTTACTGTCAGGAAGTTCTTCCTAATGTTTAGGTGGAATCTTCTTTCTTGTAGTTTGGATCCATTGCTCCGCGTCCGCTTCTCTGGAGCAGCAGAAAACAACCTTTCTCCCTCCTCTATGTGACATCCTTTTATATATTTGAACATGGCTATCATATCACCCCTTAACCTCCTCTTCTCCAGGCTAAACATGCCCAGCTCCCTTAGCCGTTCCTCATAAGGCATCGTTTCCAGGCCTTTGACCATTTTGGTTGCCCTCCTCTGGACACGTTCCAGTTTGTCAATGTCCTTCTTGAACTGTGGTGCCCAGAACTGGACACAGTACTCCAGGTGAGGTCTGACCAGAGCAGAATACAGTGGCACTATTACTTCCCTTGATCTAGATGCTATACTCCTATTGATGCAGCCCAGAATTGCATTGGCTTTTTAGCTGCCGCGTCACACTGTTGGCTCATGTCAAGTTTGTGGTCAACCAAGACTCCTAGATCCTTTTCACATGTACTGCTCTCAAGCCAGGTGTCCCCCATCTTGTATTTGTGCCTCTCATTTTTTTGCCCAAGTGCAATACTTTACATTTCTCCTGTTAAAATTCATCTTGTTTGTTTTGGCCCAGTTCTCTAATCTGTCAAGGTCGTTTTGAAGTGTGATCCTGTCCTCTGGGGTGTTAGCCACCCCTCCCAATTTGGTGTCATCTGCAAATTTGATCAGGATGCCCTTGAGTCCATCATCCAAGTCGTTGATAAAGATGTTGAATAAGACCGGGCCCAAGACAGAACCCTGTGGCACCCCACTAGTCACTCTTCTCCAGGATGAAGAGGAACCATTGATGAGCACCCTTTGGGTTCGGTCAGTCAGCCAGTTACAAATCCACTGAGTGGTAGCATAGTCAAGACCGCATTTTACCAGCTTCTTTACAAGAATATCATGAGGCACCTTGTCAAATGCCTTGCTGAAATCAAGGTAGGCTACATCCACTGCGTTCCCTTCATCTACCAGGCTTGTAATTCTGTCAAAAACGAGATCAGGTTAGTCTGACATGACTTATTTTTCAGAAATCCATGCTGACTATTGGTGATCACAGCATTCCTTTCTAGGTGCTCACAGACTGTTTGCTTAATGATCTGCTCCAGAATCTTCCCTGGTATTGATGTCAGACTGACTGGGCGGTAATTATTTGGGTCCTCTCTTTTCCCCTTTTTGAAAATAGGGACAACATTTGCCCTCCTCCAGTCTGCCGGGACTTCGCCTGTTCGAAGATGATAGATAGAGATAGATGATAGATAGATAGATAGATAGATAGATAGACAGATAGATAGATAGATAATAGATAGATAGATGGGCAGACAGATAATCAGATAGGCAGAAGACAGACAGACAGATGGTAAAGGGGTTAGGAACATAGAAACTGACATACTCAGTCAGACCATTGGCTAACTGCCCTGAGACCTGCAGGTATAGGGTGGTACACAAATTTAGTAAATAATAAATAATAATAAAAGCCATAGTCTACACTGACTGGCAGCAGCTTCTCCAGGGTTTCAGACTGCTGGACATTCCAGGGATTGAACCTGGGACCTTCTGCATGTAAGGCAGATACTCTACCTGGGACCTTCTGCATGTAAGGCAGATACTCTACCATAGAGCTGCAGCCCTTCCACAAATTGCCAAATTTCCTCCTTTGCCCAGGCAAGGTCTGGGGATGGCAAATGCAAGGGCCCAGGTGAGGAACTAAGGTGCTGTTTTAACATGCAAAAGGCAAAGGCTGAGGAAATGAAGTCAAGATCCACAAACATATTTGCAATGCTGAAAGCTGTATTTGCCAATGATTCCACCCTGCTCCCTGCCTTCCCCCATCCGTCTCCTCTCCTCCCACACTGCCTCCCTCATAAGTAACACAAATGAAACAGAAACAATTAATATAATGTCAGCTGCAGGGCAAAGTATGAGTCCCAACACAGAATAAATAAATGGATCTCCCTTCTTATTTTACTTCTCTCTCCCCCCCTTTTTTTTTTTGTTCTGTTCCTAGCTAAACATTCAAACAAATTCCAGTCAGGAAACAGAGGAAGTTCAAAGAGAATATAATGAATTGGATGAAATAAGCAACTAATGGCCTACAGATAGTATCAAATCAGAGCTGGTAGAGAATGCTGATCAGCACTAGAGGAGAACCGATCCATCTCTCAGGTATGGGGTAACTCTGGCAGTGCACTCTGGAGATAAAATAGCCCAAAGCTACACTCTCCTAACCAGAGGAGGCACATCCTATTTCGCCACTTCAGGAAATGCTGCCCTGCCCAGTCACTGCCGCCATTCCTGCCACCATCTACCTGCTACTGCCGCCGCCCTTCGCCCTGCTGTATTGGCCAATAGCAGGGGAGTGGTGCCAATTTCAGACAAGATTACACTAATTTGGGCAAGATCTCACCCAAAATGGATATGACCTTGCCAGAAATCAGCACTAATGATGGGGTGCTGCTGCTGCTGGTGGAGGCAGCAGGGCCGGCGGGGCGCCAGCAGGAGTGCCCCCTATGGGGCTCCTGCTCCCCTAATGGCTGGGCCACCTCTGCTCCTAACTGGATTCTCATCCAGAAGACCCTGGTTGCTGGATTTGGCCAAAGATCCTCCTAGTTGAGCATCCCATTCTCACAGTGGCCATCCACATGTCTATGAGAAGCCCACAAGCATCTTCTGAGTGCAGTAGCACTCTCCCTACTTGTGACTTCCAAGGCATACTGCTTCTGACCATCGAGGATGCCATCTCGTGGCCAGCATGGATGTAAGTTTCAACCATCAGTCCAGTCTGAATTAGGAGGACCGAAGATCAGTGTGGGTCAATTGGGGAGAGTGCTACTGTTGCATTCAGGTCCTGCTTGTGGGCTTCCCATAGGCATCTGGTTGTCCACTGTTCACACCTCCTTTGGGGGACTATGGAGCTTGGAAGGAAAATGCATTGATGGGTCTCACCAGGCAGAGGATGCTGGTCCATTAGGGCAAATGGATGACTGCCCCCACCAACCTCAGCCGGCCCCCACCTGCCTGTCTTCTTACTTGCAACCAGGCCAGGGGGTGACACTGCCTGTCAGATTCCTCCTCCTTAGTCTCAGTGCTGCCTTTGGAGAATTCAGGGAGGAGGAGCCTGGGGGCACAGCTAGAATGAATTGGCTCTGTCTGCCATTGGCTTTGGCGCCACCTGCTGCTGGGCTCCTTTCCTTCTGCCCTACCAGTCCCGTTGAGCATCAGCCATTGCTGGTCTCCCGCTTCTCTGAAGCCCAGCGATGTCTTCCCAGGTGATGACAAACATGTCTGGTGAGTGACGGCATGTAGCGGATATTACAGAGAACACTCTTTAATCTTGCAGGTGAAGGCATAAAAAGAAATTAATGCCTGAACAAACTCAAATTAGAGATAAGGCATTTAATTGTTCGCGGTGAGGGTAATTCATTACTGGAACAGGCGAATCGAGGAGGTGACGGCTTCTCTGACATTTGCAGCTCCCAAACGAAGACGAGATTCTCTCCTAAAGAATACATTGCTAGCTGGTGCGACCCAGATAAAAAAACGAGGGGAAGGGAATTAATTTGGGGCTGCTGCGTGATCCTTTTTGCTCCTCCTTTGACTTCAAAAATCTGTGAATGATTTGGGAGAGAGGTGGAGATTCAGCTGAAGTCCACCTCTCCCTTTCAAACATATAATCACAGAATTATAGAGTTGGAAAGGACCCCGCTATATGATGATGTAGCAATTATATATATATAAAACTGCTTAAAACATCTCAGTAAAGCACAATAAAACATGAGGCCGAAAGCTACTGAAGGTAATGGGGCCCTTTAGATGTCCAGCTGTCCTTTGTCAACAACAATTTGTTACTGTTTTTTGTGTTGAATATATGCTATATGGTAATTCATGGACCTCATAGGTATCTAAAGCCATTTGCACATAACAAATAGGAGCCTACACAACACAAAGCACTGTTGCTGTATGTAGGTTTTATTTTATTTGTTTTTATCTTACATTTTGGAAATGTACATCCAGGGTTTTTTTGTTTAAATTTTTTGGGGTCCCCCCAAGAGAGTGAGGCCCTAAGCTATAGCTTGTTTAGCTTATATGTAAATCCGGCACTGTTTCTATATGAGGAAGCTGTGTCCCTCCAGACTCCAACACCCACTAGACCCAGAGAGCAAGTTCAATGGTTAGGGATGGAGAATGTTGTAGTCCAACAACATTTGAAGATCTCCAGATCACACACACACCACATGCTATTCTACAGCCATTGTGTTTATAGCTCTGTAGTACAGCATGTGCTCTGAATGCAGAAGGTCCCAGTTTCATTCTTCAGAATCTCCAGATAGGGCTGGGAGTATTCCTATCTGAAACCCTGGATAGCTGCTGAGAGTCAGTGTAGACAACACAGAACTAGATGGACCAGGTGTGACACAGTACAAGGCAGCTCCCTAATCAAGAGTTCTTTAACAAGAAGGATCGCAAAATACTAGCGAGCAAACTTCCCAGAAACAGAGCATGCTCATTGCAAATGAGATCTCTCAATTTACAACTTCAGAGGAAAGTTGGATGTGATGTATCATATGCTGTCAGCTCATGCAAGGGGGTACCAACAAGCTTGGATAGTGCCCCATGTTAACTGCATGGATGGGGCCAGCCCTACCATTAGGTAGAATGCGTTCAGGTGTCATGAAAGGGCAGCAAATTCATTTGCTAATTTAGTGCTTTGCAATTTTTTACTACAGAGAATTGGAGCCATTTCATTTTTGCTTCATGTTACTGGCCAGTCTAACTTTGCCTGCCCCTGGGATTATGCACCTTGATGCTGGCAGAGGTTGAGGGTGCTGTTTGCTGCTCTGCATCACACAGCAAACTGTCCTGGGCAGACCCACAGGGGTTCCTCAGCCACCTAACCCATATGAAAAGTGTTCCCTGAAGACAGGAGGTTCTAGATCTTTCTGTGATGTCTGGGAGAAAAAATATAGAGTAGAACCTTCTTGGTCTGAGGAAAAGAAATAACATTAACTAACCTTTCAAGGTTTTATTCTCGATTCCCTGCGCCTCAAGCATTTCTCCTTGTTATCCGGATGGGACTCATTCCAAGAGGATGTTTTGCAAAGCTCCTGAGGGATATTAGCAACTCAAGATCAGCATTTTAACCTTCGTTCACTTTTTGGTTTCTTGTAGAGTCCCCAGGGAGCATCGCAAAGCTTTTATTGGAGAGAAAGCTGTTGTACACCAAAAGAAGCCTTTCTCAAGACTATGACTTCCTGCCTCTTAAAGTGGTGGGGATTTCAGAAAGGCAGATGATCCACAGAGTTGGCTATGATTCAGGGCAGGCATTAGGGGGGAATTTGGATGCCCCAGAAGATGTGTGAAGGGCATGAGCATTGTGACTTCACCCAAATACTCTCCAACTTTACTCTTGATGCCAAAAATGATGTTTTGAAGGGGAGAGAAAACTTTCCAAGACAACACTTCATGAGAATATTCATTTTTTAAAATCTTGCTTGATGTCATTGAGTTTGTCCTTTGGAGCCTCTCTCCACCCCTACCCCTCACCCCAGTTACTACAATGCCAACATACCAGAGATTATTGAAAATAATGCAATGCAGAATAGCAAAATGGATTTCCCTGCGTGGTTAGATTAATGAATTAAAATGCAGTCCGTTGAGGGGAGCTCTTGCTGGATTAGTCTCGTGGGTGATCCTAGCCAATCAGGAACACAAGGCAAAGAAGATGGATTTCTTGCTGCTATCCTCTAAATGCTGTTTGACACCAATCCCCCTTGTGTCATTCCATAGCTTCAACAGGATCCTCAGCCTTCTCTGCTAGAAAATCTGCCAAAGCATTCAGGAACACATCACTTTCCATAAGTTCTGAGGGCAGGCCCACTACTCTTAACAGAATGGTCTACAGGCCTTTTTAAAGACTGTTTGCAGCTGTATCAGAGGGTGGAGCCACTGGAAGAGAAGGTTCTGCCAGCCTCTTAAGCCATGAGATGACTCTGGCCCTTTTCAAGATACCTTTCTTTACTCAGTCAACAGGGCCCATTGGGAGCTAACCAGGGTCCTGATTTGCCTTAGCCTCTATGCTTTAGAATGGAAGAGGCTCTGGTAATCATTTCTACCTCCCTTTCTGGCTCCTAAACAGGGTGCGATGAAAATGATTGGATGAACAATTTTGTAAGTAGTGCTGAAACCTTGGCAGGAATTTTAAAATGTTTGCTGAAAACTTTTCTGTGCTTATGAAAACCAATATGTTTTAATGTTGTTGTTTTTACTGGTTGTCTGTGATTTTGGCTTTTATTGCATATATGTTTGCTCTATGCCACTTTTTTTTTAAAGGCAATTGTGATATATAAGCATTATTATTTGTGTATATATAGTGTTCTCCCCAAATGCAAGCAGTTTCATCTCAGTCCTAAAACACAAGCAGCTGGGCAAAGAACCCAAAAGAATGGAGAATCAGCTCCATCTGCAGCGAGAGTTTTTCAAAACATTTTTTTTATTTAAGAGCAACACAAAACCTCAAGGTTGTGCAAAATGGAGCTTTTTATTTCTCTCCATACCGCAGCCTCCATCTCCCCATTTCCATTCCATCTTGCTTCATCTCTGCTCAGGTGTGTC